AAAAAAAAAAAATAGAAAAAAAAAGACAAAAACACACACATATATATATATATATATATATATATATATATATATGTTTATAATTTATCAGAATCATCAATCAATCTTGTAGGTCATCTCTCGTTAACGCTTCGTTAACGAGAACGTTAACGCAGTATCTTTCCGTTCTTGCGTCGGTTTCGGCCAACCGGTACGCGTATCTAATTAAGTAAACCACGTGAGATGCTATTGCGCCGATTTTCATCACTTCCGGTCCCGGTTAACACTCGTGTCTTACAAGTAGCATTGATTTTTAAACCGCTTATTATCCGATTACCTTGGGTCTTTTTAACGGTCACGCTAATTAAAGGAGACTACGGTCAGCATTGCGAATTAATAAACGACTTTGGGATTCCAGAGTGTCATCAATACGATTTCGCTCATGTCTGTTACCAGTTCGCTCCGTGTATCTTAATTAAGCGTAGCATATAGAAGGCGGAACTCGATATTGTTTCATGTTGTTAATCCATGTATATATCTTCATTAGTAATTAACAAGAAGGATTTACAAAAAAAATTCTAAGAACCAAATAATGTCAGTGGATGTTGGATTTAATATAATCACTTATTTATGGGATAAAGTAACTTATATAAAAGATTTATAAAAAATATTATATGAATTCCTAAAAATTTTGGAGCAGCAGCCGTAATATGAGTAAGCTCCTGGAAAATAGAATAAGAAAATAAATTTCTTTTCTTAAAATGATTTTTTAGTAAAGGACATTTTCTATGCAATGAATCCCTTGTTCCTTACAAGATGTCGCATCTTAATGGCGCGTCGCGTTTGTGCACTTCGTGCTAGGATTATATACGTAACTGTGATATTAAATGAGATGGCTAACCGTCTCCAAGAAGACCTTTCTTCAGTTCTTAACTGGATACTATTAGCCTTGGTCGAGTGAGTCTCCCATAAGCGCTAGAGCGTGATTTATTTTTCGCAAGTGTTCGTAGATAAATTTACTATATTTCAAACTTGCAATTTTTAGACGTGCACCCGTTTACATGTACTACTGCACAAAAGTAAATTCATATGAAACACACACAGTAATCTAGTCTAAAAATTATGCGCGTACGATACATGTGATCTAAGTAATCTCATATCAAATAATTAGAAACGGTAGAATTATTAAGCTCATAAAATTAAATTTTATATAAAAACACTCAATATATTCTCTAGCGCACAAATTAATTTTCTACTGAGAAATAAGCTTTAAATTAAAATATTTTACAAGCAAACGCCTTTATTGATTACGTACGTTCACAAAGTTAAATTTATTGTAAGTTCTTCATTTAGCAAGTGATTCCCTATGTCGATTTTAATAGTCGATTTTTACATTATATTATATATTATTTTACTAAATATCCATATAATATATATTACAAAATGTATTGCAAAATTAATAAATTTATTATTTATTTTATGTATAATTGTACGAGCCCATAATTCGCACGCAGACCGAATTCTGCTGCTCTCATTTTGCAGACAAACAAATTTTATTTTATGCACCTATAAATTCTGTTTTATCGCGCACGATTTTTCAGCGACGGCAGCCACTGAAAAAAAACCGCGATTACACGCATCCCGCGCTCCATGTGTATCGCAAAATTCTGCAATCGGAGCATCACGCGCCTATCTCGTAGGAAGTTTGCGCGAATAAACCAGTTGCCGAGAACCGGATTACATTTTGCGATTCCGTAATTGTCACAAGGCCGCGAGTGTTAATTAATTGAATTGGGCGCTGCCAGAATACATCGATTTGTCGATAATTAATACATTTATACTAAATATGTCTCGCTTTCAATTCGAGCATACAAAGTTCGAGTTCATCTTAAAAGGTCAGTGCAAATGAGAATGAAAAAAAATACTCTCGATTAATCAATCAAAAGAACAATATCATGGATAACGAGCTTACAATTCCTTACGATCAGATAAAACTGTCGAATATTAATTAAATTTTAATTAAATACACAAGATGAAGTTCTACTGCAAAATACTGCATAGTACTGCAAAGTTAATCCATCCGAATATTTTATATTAATTTCAAGAATATCATAATTTATCTCAATCGACCATAAAATAATAATGGGCATCTAAATCTCTTGTTCTTTTAATTTTCAAAAGCAAGTATGTCATTTACAAGTGACCAAATTAAATTATTTGTAATAATAGACGCGGCCAAATACTTATTATTAAATGTATCGCTTTTAGACGTCTTTTCTAAAAAAAAAGAAGCTAATTATGCGATTAATGCCGTCAGAAGGTTTAATGGGTAATTAATGTGCTTCTCTTTAGAGCTACCTTTAATCTCGAAAGGCATAATGGAGTCGCTAATTACATTCAGCTCGCGTGATTACTTCGTGCAAAAAATTAACACGGTACTCGCGCAAGTGGCGACACGTGTACGCGTTTGTTCGCGTTTTAATTCACATACGATCCTTGTTTCAAATTCTTTTGAAGGAACATCTCAATTCTCGTTGTCCTTGAAAACTCATTCTCTCTATATCTGTTTTATCCAATATTTCTTTGACCAAAACGAATTAATTTGTCTAATGCAAATAAAAAATTGCCTTCTTAAATAAATAATTATTTCATTTATAATATCAACTTTTAATATACTTTTCTTTTATAAATTATCTCTATATTTATAAATCTATTAAGTTATAAATAATTTATACATACAATTATAAGTTATTTATAAAGACTAATTCAATTTAGATTCAGACATTTTGATTATATGAATCAAGTTCATTTTGATGTAATTTGTATGTAAATTCCGTGCATTCTCTCTCTCACTTCTCCTTTTTTTCTCGCCTGTAAATTGTATGACTCACAAAATTTTCTCATTTGTCTCATCATCTTATGTTGCATTGCATAAGAAAAAGCGCATAATCGCTTGCAGGAACCGTGATAAGTTAACATTCTGCGCTTGTATAACGAAAGTAGCACTCGCCCGCGATAGTTACGTGCATTGTATATATGTATGTATTTGCCAGGTATACTCGATGTAAGTATAGCGAGCACGGGCTAGATAACGACGGTATCCTTGACTCCAGCCGCGTACATACGTTGACGCGGGCACGTTCCGTATGTGAATGCCACTCCGTATATGAAGGTGCACGCGTCAAGTTTTGCGAAAGCCGGGATAACGTGGCGCGTTTATAATCGATATTATGTAAATCTTTTTCTTAATAAAATAATAAAGCAATGAAATAATCATTATTGATTATTTCATTGCTTTATTATTGATTATTTCTTTGCGCCATTTTATCTTTTTCATTCTTATCTTGTTATAATTCACGCTAGAACGTTTTAAATTCTACAATATCTGCATCACAGTTACAAATAATTAAATCTATATGACATCTGAATTGGTATAACTTAATTTTACAATATTATTAACTTCGTCCGTCGATCTCCAATTTAAAGAAATGATTTATCATCCGATTATTAGAAGCCTCATAAAATAATATTTTAAGTAGCAACAAACGTTAGTAACAGACGACGAGAGAAAAGCCTATCACCGCCATCGACTACGCCCTGGTCGGTGAACGCTATCGACCTCTCAGGGTTCAATCGCTCGTAAAATAGCAATACGCGGGGGCTTACCAGCAGGAGAAGCACCGTGCTCGTGACGGTCGCGTCGACCGATATGCCGTACGCCATTTCTCGAACACGAGGGAGTTCGTCCGCTCTTCTACCAGACCATCCTGGACGCGTCGTCAGCTCGCAGCTCCCCGGGTTCGCCACCCGCGGGGACTCTTCGAGGATCGAAGCCCGATCGATGTTCACTTCCCCACGAGACACAAAAGAAGAAAATCAGAATCACCAGAACAACGCCCTTGAATCGAGCCCCGCTGCCCTTCTCGCTGCAACTGACAATTTCCGACGAGCAAACAGGAAGGACCCTTTGCTCGAAAAATTTTTATTGACAGCTCAGTCGACGACGACAACGGTTAAACGACACGCTAAGCTATCTCTCTCGCGAATAAAGGTCGGATTACGGTTGATCACATTCGCTCTCGATCGTTGCTGTCCGTGTGATCGCTGGCCTTTCGCCTCTCTCGGATACTCCGTCGATCGCTTGTCCGTTGCCGATCTCGTAACGAGGGGGACTGAAAGACGGGCTTGTTGCTGAGGACGACACGGCGCGATGGCCCGTGGCTAGCTCCGGTATGTCGTCGTTCAATAGGTGACGATTATGTGCGGTCCTAACCGTAGCACAGGGCTCGGGCAACTGACAGCGGATCAGAGCCGCGGCACACGGCGCCACGCCGCTCTCACAGCTGATCCGAGAGAGCCGATCGCCTCTATCCGCGCCTCCCCTCCTACCGATCCTTTGCAGAGGGACCACGCTCTACCCTCTCTCTAACGCGCGATTCTCAATCTTCAGCCGCGACGCTCCCTTTGACGATGACACTTTGATTCATCTCAAACGACTTACGGATGCTGCTTGAATAAGCAGAAATGAAGGAACGACGGGTTTCGGTCAAAATTTTGTGTTGACATGTATACTTTATTAGAAATTTAAAATTTAAAATTTAAAATCAATTTCTTTTCTCTCCGAGGCAAAAAATTTAAAATATTTCTTCGATTTTTAATTTTGCTATTCCATTGGCTTCATTTCTAAAGCATTTTTATTTTTAAAATAAGATATTAAGATATTAAGATATTAAGAATCTCTTAATATTTTTAAATTGTTATAATTTTATCGAAAATTTTTACGTATATATTTCTCTAAAATGCAAAGAAATGAACATATTTGACTTCATAGATCAATCTGAAACACATAGAAACTTCTATAAAAATTTAAATTACTAAATATATAAAGTCTCTATCAGGATTAATTGTCATTGTATATATTTGCATCATTTTTAATGAATCTCCGTATTGCTAATAACACCAGGCCGACAAAATAAAATTTTTGTCAAGTAACTCTAATCAAAGTGTTTCTTATAGATTTTCGGCTACAAAAAACAATGCCACTGTCCAAATTGCTCATCATGTCAGGTTTTAAAGTTATTTTAAATTTTAAAATGAGAAATCAGCGATTTTTCATTTTAAAAAACTTTGATTAGAGTTACAAAAATTTTTTTTGTCGGCCTGTGTAATTAATCTTTATCTCCATTTACACACATACACATCAAACCTTTTTCAAAATTACAAAACTATAAAAAATGCCCTTAATGGTTGAAAAGATATATCTTTCTTTGCGCTCTTTCGCAATTGGACATATACGAGTCCGCCAGTTCGGTCAGAGAAAATGTAATTATAATTAATGTTTGAGAAGAATAATTCATAAATATTAATGCAAAATCCACGTACGTCACACCTGCGTCCCGGATTTGCAGATATTTCGCTGTCGGTTTTATGATATTGCAAAAAAGAATGGCGTATTAAAGCACGTTAATTAGCCGTGTTGCATTCGTTACCGTAAACCGAAGGTCGCGAGCTATAGACGCTCTATAAAACCTTCATGTTCTGGAAAAACGGATCCACGTACCCTTAACAGCATAAGAACTTCTTTTAAATATTATTCATATAATCTTTACACTTATAATCAAATTATGATTTAAAATCTAATTACACTTCAAGATATTTAATTACTTCTGAAAGAAAAATGACATCCCATCAAACTTTTGTCGAGAAAGAAATATCTCGGAATTCATTAAAGGCTACTCTGATGTAATATGTAGTAAGTCTTACAAAATATTTGTATCTCAAAGAAATGTAGCGAATCATTTGATTGAAATATTCTTTCTTAATCACGCAATGGGAATAACCAATAATTTGATGACTAACAAAAGATCGTTTGTGCACGAGTCATTTTCGATCGCATCATAATTCGTACGTATCTACTATTATCCGATAACTCCTGTTTAGTTTTGTATTTTGCTAAATTTGATATCGCAGACATATCATTATGGTACCCGCAAAAAACCACTCATAGGCAAAAAAAATTCGTAATTTTATAGACTCCATAATCTCTCCTAATTACCCAAAATTGCAAGTTTATGTTGTATCTTAAATTATCTGATACCTGTCACTTAGTTTTATTATATTCGATACCATGTGGTATTATATGTCAAAAATATGATACAAGAGAAGAGAGTCCCAAATCTCGAAGACGGATCCTTTTTAAACGTCAAAGAATAAGATATTCAATCTTTCAAAATCATTTTTGGCGATCGAAAATCAGAGAGGGCGGTTTCTCGACATGCAAAACTGATTGCAGGTTCCACGCGTCGAAATTCCCGGAATGACACGCGGCACAATATTTCGCTGGCGTACGTTACGATACAGAATGATGATGACGATGACTGGTGGAGAGTACAAAGAGCATTTAACAAAATCCTTGTGCAACGGGCGCGGATGAATAACCGACCTTGCGAATGAGCGGGACGACCTTCGTGGTGGCGCGTTCGCGAAGAGACGAGAATGTATCCTATCTTCTTCGGGTTTTTCACGCCGGACACGAAAACGTTCCGTGAAACACGGCTCAAGTTACATCGGGCTTTTAGATCGAGTCCACGTTCGGGCACACATACGGGGACGCGACGTGAGCCAGCATGGAATCACTTGGGACGTCCGCTCGCAATGATTAAGCGTATACGGATTTATCGGCGCCGTCCCGACGCGATATTATTTTTGCGATTTCATCCGGCTACTGCTTGGTTAAAAGGCAATACTTCGTGCTTCGGAATTCGTATTCAAGACTGCAATCAACTTATTTTCCAATTATACCCACTTTCAATAATATGCTCGATCAGATTTATAGCTTTTCGCGAGAATTTTGTTTTATCAAAAATATTTGAATAATTTTCAAGTTAATCATATATTTATCTCATCATCAAAAAATACAATTAATATTTTATATACAAACAAATTTAAAAAGTCGATTTTTAAAAATTATTTTGCGCTGTGAAAGGAATCAATACCTTACACAAAAAAAAATAAGAATTTTTCTGAAAATCTTAATTTTTTTTTAAAATCCCTAAAATTGCAAGAAATTGTAAGATTCGGATTTTTCTGTAAACGAACGAAAAATTTTGAACGGAATTTTCTCAAGATATTGAAACGAGCCATCGATATTTATATCCTACTGTTTATCGATTCGTTCCTCGTGATGGTGTATTCACGAGGATCGTCGTGCCTCTATAGAACAGCGCTATACGATACATAATGCGCACACGAGCCGCTAAATTTCCACTTTATCTGCATTATTCGCGTGCCTCTGTGGCCCGGTCGTCTGTGCGGGGGCCTCTTCGAAGGAATCCGATCGAGAATGTGGTGGCCAGGTCTTATATCGGAGGTCAACTACGACCTAGGTATATCCGCGCGCGCATTGTTCCCGCGCGAGCGGCGGCATTGTTTCGCGATTTCGCCGGCAAAAGGTCAAGATACAGAGGACCAAACACGGGAATCCGTATCTCGCGCCCGGAGAAACAAGAAGGGCTTTTAAATGTCCCGCACAAAAATTGCCGCTGCCGGATGCTTGGACGATACCATCGCGGCGAAGCGATATTTTTTCAACCGTATCCAATAAATTATTACAAACGTGTAAAACACTCGAGCAATTTCTGTCGTAAAACGAATAATCATCGTTCAATTTATCAAAATACGAAAAAGAAAATATAAGAGAATATATTATTAAAAAAAAAAAAAATAGTGATCTTATTACAAAATATTGCAAATATATGATAAATACAAAAATAAAAGATGTAAGATGGAAAATACAATGGATAGATAATTTCAAAGAATAATTTGATTTAATGTGGTCTTATAGATCAGAGCGAGAAATGGATGAAGAATAACAAACGATTCTTCCTGTTTAAACATGCGGTGTAGCATCGACGAAAAGTCCGAACAAGAGCCGTCAGTCTCGCCTACGGTCCAGTTGCACGCCGTAAAAACTCGTATTTATTCTCGGCGCATTCTTCGCGTTCGCGCAGACGATGTAATTGCATTCCACGGCGACTACAATGTATCTGTAAGTCATTCGGCTCGCTCTCTCAGAGAGGCCAAAATATTGATCTCCGCAAAAGAGGATTCGTTTAGCGACAGAAAAAAATTTGAATCTTCGAGACTTACAAATAAATTGCATTTGAATGAAATATACCATCCTAATATAAAGTAAACCATCCTAATATAGAAAGAAGCACGTTTATGATAATACACTAAATAAGATAAAAGAGATAACAATGCAAATCTGTCAAATTTGATTCACATTTTGTGCAGCTTTTATTATCCTTGTCGCGTGCGTAGCTTTTTTCCGTCTTATAAATATCTATATAAATACTAAATACATATATATATATATGTAATATAGTATGTAAGAAATATATAAAAATCTGCGGCAAATTGTTGCGCATGCATTCACGAACGATGCATCGGACAAGCAAATGTTCGGGCGATAATGTCCGCGCAAAGTCATAAATTTCGTGGCCGGACGATTTAAATCGCGACTTTATTTCCCAAATGCGACATGTATTCAGCAAAATTATTAAACGAGGACTGTTTTAGCAGGCTCACGGGATATCATTCATTGCAAGATGATTACTATTAAGCTGGCATAGCCATTGTATATGAAAAGAGGCAATTTTGAAATAATTTCTCTCAGGCAAATCCGACTATAATTTTTGATCAAATATACAGTAACTTAAATATCATGAAATAACTTAGATATGAACGAGCATTCATTTACGGGAATACTACTTTTTTACGGGATGGATTTCGTTTCTAGCGCATATTACACCAGAAAAAATATTCGTGTCAAGGTTTCAGGGAACATTAAATCGCTGAAGAGCGTATCTTATTCGGCGATTATGGCATCTTCGTTTTCTGAATCATCGTGACATGTCGTCGTCTACCGTGATTCCCGGACCTTGGAATCTGTTCGATTTCGCGTTTGGTCGAGCATCGAACGTGTCATCGAAGGCTGCCGCGGTCATGGATCTCGCGGAAAAAAATCAGATAGCTATGCAAAACAAATGTATCGCTGGATTTTGAGAATACAGTTATTAATTGAACGACAAGATAGTAGGATAAAAAAATCGATCGAGTCGTCTATTTATTGATTCCTTTGAAAATATACATCGCAATCAAAATACAACGCTTAATGTTATATTGTCAAGAAATAAGAACTCATCAAATAGTTTCAGAAAATTGTTGTGAGAAACTATACTCCGTGAGAAACTAATCTGCAA